TTTTTTGTCCAAACCATTATAATCAATTGTGAACTCATATGAAGAGAGCCAGCATGGTGTAGTGGTCTAAGCACTGAACTATGACTCTGGAGACCAGGGTTTGAATCCCTGCTCAGCCATGGAAACCCACTGGGTGACCATTGGGCATGTCACATTCTCTCGGTCTCAGAGGAAGGCAAAGGCAAAACCCCTCTGAACAAATCTTACCAAGAAAATCCTGTGATAGGGTAGCCTTAGGGTTGCCATAAATCAGAAATGACTTGAAGGCACACAAAAACAACTCCTCATATGGACAGAACACAAGAATGCATGAGTGATGGAAATCTGTTTTCACAAATCCTGCTGCAGCACCCAGCAACAGCAAATTTAAATATACTTTCCCATGAAGCAATCATTCCCCTGCAAATATCCCTGCTGTTTCCAGTGACAGAACTGTATTTCATCTTGCTGAAAGTGATGACCAAAGGCGGAAAAATAGTTGCCATTCTGAAACAGTACAAAAGAAGGGCTTTACTACCAACGCAAAGAGAAAGATTACTTCCTGTGTCATTTGCATAAACATTTCTTAGGTGGTTTCTCTTATTTGAAACATTTTTTTAAATCAAGGGGAGAAGGGAATTCCTAATAGACCATTAAAAATGGGTGAAAGACAGGTATCTCATGTATTGGGAAGCCCTGACTAGGAAAAGCATAGATGAGTGACAATCTTTGTGGTTTTAAACTTACTCTGCACAAAAATGCATGGGTTTTTGCACAGAAAACTGCATTTTCTAAATAGAAAATAACATTTCTGTGTAGAAAACAAGATTTCTATGTAGAATGGAGCATTTTTCTGAAAAGAGAAAATGCCAAGAGAAAACCAACATGCTTTTCCCTTTCTTTCTTTCTTTCTTTCTTTCTTTCTTTCTTTCTTTCTTTCTCTTTCTTTTTTTTTCTTTTGCACAGAGTAAATTCCAAACTCCCACATACTCTTTAAAAACCTTGAAGCCAGTGATAAGTAACCTTCCCACATATTTCTGGCATATAAGAGACACTCAGATTTCTAGCAGGAGATCTTGTCTGAGATCTGTGCTTCAGATCAAGCTCTGACTAGTTCCAATGTCTTCTCTTACCAGGATGATCTAGCAAGATCCACTCTGAGTACACAAGCAAAAGAAGGAATAGAGCTTGTCACACCTTTATGTGATACATAGACAAAGATCAAAAGTGTACAGAAGAACATGTTTCAACATAGGTCCCAATGGATTAAACAATGTAAACCCATTCCCTAGGAGAATATTTGATACTTAATATAGCTCCATGTACAGTAAAACCATTTGGAGTGATACAAATGGTCCTCCCTGAGTTAGAATGGGCTTTTTGAATATAAGGCATTCAAAAGATAAGGATGTGATGAGAGAGAGAAAGAGATTTTTTTAAAAGAAATCCAACATGGATTTAGAATAGCTCTTGGGTGGCTTAATCTTGTTACCAAAAGCCAGTTCAAACAGGAAGGCCTTTTGTTGTTAGGGCTTTGATGAGCTTCCAGAAGAAGTCAGATCAGTATTCAGGGGTGTATGTATTCTAACAAGTACATGACATAAACTGAATTTGAAACTAGGCATAGAATGCAGTGTTCTGGAAAATCTAATTTTCATTTTGAAATCAGCAATTTTCTAGTCCTTTTGCATTCAAAAAGCAAATCAGCTTGGAAAGCATGTGGTCAAGTTCTAGTAAAGCTTCAGAATTCAGGGGTTCAACAGAATTTGAGTGACTGGCATGTCCTGAATTGCTTCTGTGCCATGAACTGCTCTTTGCCTTCCTTCATGACTAGCAGACAAAACATACAGATGAAAAATACACTAATCTGCAAATCTGTTTCATTCTCCACATACATGCAGGTTGCAAAATGTTATTGTTGGCTTAAATCAGTGTAGGCAACCTTTTTGAGCCGGGGGCCGGGTTGCTGTCCCTCAGACAATTGGGGGACAGCACCCAAAATAAATAAATAAATAAATTAAAATTAATTTTTTTTAAAATAAAAAAAAATATTTTAAAAATATGCATGCACACTCCCTCAGCCCAGAAAAGCCATGGCAAAACCCCTGTGGGGATTTTTCCAAGAAAACCCCAAGAACAAGTAATAACAACAATAATCAATATCATCATGGTGGGGGGTGGGGGCGGCGGCGGCAGCAGGACCGGCCTGGGGCCGGTCCAAAGGCCTCGGTGGGCCGCATCCGGCCCCCGGGCCTTAGGTTGCCTACCCCTGGCTTAAATAATCCAAAACAGTTTTATACTTTGTTACAACAGAACACACACAGAGTTTAATGGTGATACACTCAAAAAGAGTGACTCTCTATAATACTCTTTCTCTCCAAACATTTACATATGCACTGCATTGTTAGGAGAGCCTTCTGTGCCAACTTTATGGATTGTCATGAGTGTAAGAAGAACTTGAACCTGGGGAATTACTAAAGTCCAAGTCTCCAATGGGATCTTTTACCTTATGTTTACAGAGCCGGCTAGGGAATAAACTGATAGAGACAAAGCTTTCCAATTAATCTGTGACTTATTCGGGGATTAAAACATACAAAGACACTCTAGCATACACACAAGAACTCAGGAAAAAAGTAGTTAGCTTGGATAGGGAACAAAAGGCTTTCTAATGGTGATAATTACCTGATAGAGGCTGCTCCAACAATGAATGATGATGAGATAGACTCAACTATTATGAAAGGGAAAGGACAACAAGAAGAGCCAGGAACCAAGTAAGATTTAACAGTGGCACAGTGTCATCATGAAATCTAAGTAGACCCAATGTGCCTGAGATTTTGGGGATCTTTTATACCCTTAAACCTAGCCTGAAGCAAAGAGTTGCTATTGTATATGAAAGGATTCCGGATTATTACTCTTTGAAGTAGACAATTTCCAAGGAGAGGAGATGGGATGTTAATGTAATCTCATCTTCAGCTGGACACTTCCCGGCTAGTACTCATAAATCTCCTAGGTGCGAATGTCCTGCTACGCAGCTCCTAAATCTGGCCCTTTTGATCTGCAAATTGTTGTAGGTCCAGACGTGACCTTTCAGGTGCCTACATGAGGTCCTCACTTTGGATCCATGGTGGTTGGGCTTTTCCAGTCTAGGGACATGGTAGGAGACCCACAAAGGAATTTTTTTTTAATATTAAAACAAATTTTGTAACATGGGACAAGGGGAACTTGTCTTAGTTTAGTCTATAAACAACATCTAAATAAAAATCATAAGCTACAGTGTATGATCATTTAAAACAAAAAAGTACTAGACATATGACCCAGTAATTGGAATCAGACTGTACTTATTATAATGCGATAACATACTTCATGCCCACAAAAACACGGACACAAAAATACAGTAGCATCCTTCATGTCCCCCCACCTCAAAGATGGGCAATCCACAGTTCTCCTTTTATTTTGTTTTTAGAGAGATGGTCAGCATTCATTAACTTTGGAAAAGCATGATCAACAAACTAGTTCAGTTCCAACTAATCTAGCTGAATCTTTTCATAAAGCTTTCTATCTTAAATCTGCTTAGAGACAGTAATATTTTACAGTCTTCGTAAAGTATTATTATTATTATTATTATTATTATTATTATTATTTCTTATAGCCCAACTTTAGGGACTCAATAAAGTAGAAAAGTTTTTAAATGTTCCATGAGTTCAACTGAATGATTTCAGTATCCAAATCCAAATTCCAATTATTTCTTCCAATTATTTCTGGTTGGTCGGTTACAAGGGCCTGCTTCAACATCCTAAACCAGTTTCTCCCTATGTATGAATGTGTTTTGGCACATGGAAAGATTTGTGAGGCTTGCGAATTGTCCCATGCAGGTGACTGGCAGCAACATCACCAGGCTCACAGGAGAATGAGGAAGTCCTGGAAAAGTCTATGGTATCTGCCTGGAAGATTCTTACTTGGAGAAGGGAAGACAGAAAGGAACCCAGCTGGGATGTTGCCGTCAGAGCCTAAGCCAGAGGCCTCGACTGTCAGCCTGTGGAACCTCTGCAAGCCAGGGACTGAGCCTGGACTCCCCTGCGAAGATCCAGCTGTCCCAGGAGAACAGGGGGAAGCCATCAGAACTCTGGACCTTTGACCTTGGCTTGTTTTCCAGGCTCCTTTTTTGTCTTCAATCTCTGCCTGACACATGATCTGGTAGGAAACAGTTTTGAGTTTTTGAACTCAGCTTGCTCTTTGACAGTGTTTTCCTGTTTGTTTCTTCAACCGATGACACCCCTGTGACAACAGCTGTGTACTGAACAAGACCTGACTCCAATTCGACCCCTTTGTAACTTGTGTTTGTCTAAGGGATCCCATTGAACGGCTGGGTCATTCTCAAGCATAAAACAGGACATAAGGATCAGATCCTATGGAGTTTTTGAAAAGGAAATTTCCCAAGCCACCTTTATCATAAATGCCTTGGCTCATAGGATCTATAAGAGCCAGCCACTGCCAAACAGACTGTGCTAGAAAGAGTTTATTTTGTAGGTTTATATTGAACATGATGAGGAGAAAATTACATAATACTTGCCTGGTCCTCAGTAGCTCTGGTGGTAATCTGAGGATAAACAGATCCTTTCCAGCTATAAAGTATGTAGCCTGGCTAAGATTAAAATCTATATATGAGGTGCCTTCCTCCTCTGATGGTATGATGAGAATACATCACCACTGCTCCAAATAGGGTTCCCCTTGAGTCTCTGGAGGAACATTAATAAGGGCTATACATGAAGGTAGACTGAAAGCCAGCATGGTATAGTGGTCTGAGTGTTGGATGATTCTGGAGACCAGGGTTCAAATCCCCACTTGGCCATGAAAACCTGCTGGTTGACACTGGACAAGTCACATTCTTTCATCCTCAGAATAAAGCAAAGGTAAATCCTCTCTGAACAAATCTTGCCAAGAAAACCCCATGATGGTCTCATTTTAGGGTTGCCATAAGTTGGAAATGATTTGAAGACATTTCAATGACAAATGTAAACAAACCAGCCAAAACATCACACTACTCCAGGGTGTCCTACAGCTTGCAGAGTATCCTTGATTTGTTTTTTGGCAAAGGAAAACATAACAATAAGACTGGCTTTGTCTGTTGACTGTTTTCTCT